GGCTGGCCCCTGGGTGGGATCGGGGAGCCAAGCCTGGGATCGGGGAGCCAAGCTTCACCCTGGCTGGGATCGGGGAGCCGAGCTTCGCTCTGATGCTTCTTTAGGCATCAGACAGACCTTGCTTTTGGAGTTTCATTTGCTGGCTAATGTGCCTGGGCAAATTCCAGACTGAGACTGACCACAAGGGATTTAAAAGGGCCTCCCCATGTATAATCAACTCTCTCGCCTCTAAAAACTCATTTTGAAAATCCTGAGGAAGAAAAACAAAATGAAATGCCCAAAGACTTCCTATGGACTGTTTCATACCTCAGGCTCAAAAGTAACTGGGCCAACCGAGAAGAATTTTGATTCTTTTTTAAATGGAGATTTTGCTCCACCTGATCCAGATGAGATCACTTTTATGTGTCTGCAAGTTTTCCCAAAATGAACTTTAAAGTGGAAATGGTGACAGATCCTCTGCAACAAAAGCATCTTTACAAGCCTCTCCCACACCTTCTTCTCTTTTCTTTTGTTAAGTGAAAAATCAATTACCTTTCAACAGAAAGAAGAAAATTGCAGTGAAGTACCAGGAAAGCCTGCAGACTCACTTTAAAAAACAAAATTTAAACACTTCGGGCAATTTTATTTTGGGAACTTAAACCAGCAATTCCTTGAGTGGCCACGGAAAAGAAGGTACAGAAGCACAGACAGTCGTGCCTGTACTCTGCTACTGGAAAGCACGACAACTGAGCAAAAGGCAGAATACAACAGAACCCAGGCAGTTTAATTTCCCACCCCTTGCCTTTTTATTTATTTATTTATTTATTTATTTATTTTTTTTCTGCAAACCTTAAAGCCTGTTTCATTTCAGGAAGCAGAAAACTCGAGAAAAGAAGAAGTCCCAGAGTACCCAGATTTGCAAGCACAGGTAGAAGCTCTGAGGCTGCTTCAGCTGGACGCGTGACTCCTTCAAACGAAACCCAAAACCCCACCCAGTGTTCAGACAGTGAGGTCTAACTTGGCGTTGACAGATGTGACAGGTCATATCACTTAATGCTGGAGAGGAGGATGTGTTTAAGTGTCTGGCAGACTAAGGAGGAGATTAAATCACTCATTACATATTGCCTTCATTCCTAACCTTCCCTCATTGTCTCCCTCTTGAAATGCTATAGCAGATTTTACACTTCAAAGGGAAAAAATGCAAATAATTCCTTCAGTTAGGCTACATGGGCTCAAGCAAAAGCTCTGCCTGTTTCCAGAGAGGTGTGTGCATTACCGCAGTCAGAGACACAAACCAGGGACATTTCCTAAAGGGGACAAGCGCTCAGAACGCTTTCTGCCACGCATTCAGAAGGCGAGTATGAAGGCAGCAGAGTCTGCAAAAAGCACTTTTAACTGGCAACCTCACAAAAATGACTGCATTGGGCAAGGCAAAAAAATCCCAGGATCCCATTTTCAGCAGCTGGCACTCGGTGTCAGAAAACACAAAGTGAGCACGGGAGGACCAAGCGCTCTGCCCTCCCCACTCCTTGCTGAGCTACAGCCCTGCAGCCCTGGAAAGGGCAAAAGCTTTGATCGCTCGTTTCTTTGCAAAGAGTGACCTAAGATGAAAAATGTTTTCTTTCTTCTAGAGCTTTCACTGCTCAATAAAACTGACATTTACTTAGCTGCCTCATTCCTAGGGGTCTTTAGATATTAAATAAAGGTCAGGACTTCTGTTGGTATAAAATAGCTTTGCTCTATTAACCTACAAGAAACCGGCCCAATTTCTTCAGCATGAAAATCTACACTAAAATTTTTGCTAGCTAGGGTGACAAAAAAGCTTCTTAGCTAGCTCAGTGTCTAGGCTCTATCTGTCCTGATCTTCAAACACCGACATTCGTAACTAAAGAGTCAAAGTCCAATTGACTTTTCTGACTGTTCATTTTTTGTCTTTAACTTGCTGGAAATTGAGCTGTCTACTTCAACTATGTTCTGAATTTTCTTCCCTGGATTACCATTAGATAGTCCTTGAAACTGGGTAGCTCGTAGAACAGGACAGGTATTGTTTCTGGGGAAAATGAGATATTTGCAGATTATTTACACGTTGCATTAGGAAGGTTTTGTTGTGGAGCTACACAAGAAAATAAATGGTGAAGCTTGTCAGTCTTCCAAGCCGCTTGCTTTGCTCCTTCTTCCATTAATCAGCCATTTCTAGAGAGCAACGAGTTTGGTGCTCAAGCCATTTGTATCAAAGCGAGCACGGGGCTGCCGTGCCAAATCACCGCCGATTGCCACGTGGGACGCTTTTGGAAGAGGACACTCCTGAGCTCTTTCCAAACCTGATCATTTCAGAAAGATAGCACAGAGGAAACCCAAAGCACCGATTGCTAGTTTGCAACCTTTTCTTCCCTGCTTCCTACCGTCATTCATTCCACAGCTTTCTGACTGTCCCACTTGGGCTGCAGATCTCCAAACAGACCCAACTGTCAGGTCTGAAGGCAATTAAACAAATCGTTTGGTGCGCATCTGGTACACGGGCATTTCCAAGACTGAATCCCTTATCACCTTAAAGAGAGGACTGCAGCCTCGGTAAACAGTTTCATCTTTAAAAAGAGCTTGAAAAAAATAAATGCTACTACAAAATGCCTGTTTACCCAGAAGAAACCCCCCCAATTAGTGAAGCCTGTGATCTAATTTTCAAAGCAGCCACTGAACGTCGCTGCGCCTAGGTTTGGATGGAGGATCTGGATTTGAACGCTGGCTGCTCAGCTGCACAGCAAATCCAGTTTCCCAGTCTGGAGGCAGCAGAGCAGTAGGTGCTGCTGTGAAACACAGGCAGTTTTGAAAGTTTCCTTACAGCTATTAAAACAACAGAGAAGGAACAGATATTTCATCTCCTACAACCTAGAAATAATAATTCTATACCTGGAAGAAAGCACATCAGGAAGGAATAGTTTTTCTCTAAGAATTCTTTCCCAGGTCTTGCTTCATACAAACAAAACATAGGAAAATATTCTGGTAATTTGCTGACAACATGAAAGTACGTTTCTGCCAGTGAGCAAAGAGAACTTAAACCAGAAAGTTAACTAATAAAATAAATTCCCTTCTTTTAAGGCATAAGGAAGCCCTGTAAGTTCTGGAATACAGCCCCTCACGTAAGCTCTGCAAACTGTCTCTCCGTACAGTCTTGTCGTTGTTGAACAAGTGTCAAGATCAAGTGACACAAAAGACTTTTCTCATCTTGTGCATCAGCCTCTGTGTATGCAGAAGCAGCATCTTCAGCAACACCACGAGTTATAAACAGTTTTACCATCCTTTGCCCGATCCCACCAGAGACTGCGTGCAGCAAGTCACTACTGGCAATGAAGGATGCCAGCTATAAGCCAACTACTTCAGAGGAGAATCTCCCACTTTCTGGGCAACCATCCAGGTTTCCAGACCAAGGGTACGAGCACAGCCACCACATGCCTTTCCCAATTAGCAGCACCACTGCTGCAGAGGAAGCGCTAGCTAACGAAGCCAGCGGACCTGCTTCTTGTTCGCTGTGCAGACACAGCCACCTCCAGACACTGTCCCCCAGTCCTGTTCCGCATCCTACAGCACGCGCCGAGTCGGAGGTGTTTGCTGAGGACTCAAGAGCTTTCCCACATTATGGAACATACGACACCCAAAGAGTCGTGTTACCACACTCACAAACTCACCTTTAAAGAGGGAAACAGGTCTTACTCAACTTGGAAGCCCTAATACCATTGTAGCAAACACCTGTTGATAAGTACCACCATCCTACGGAATCATTTCATGGATCAACACTTACACAGTGTGTGCTGGAGATGATGACGGAGCTCGAGATGAAGCTCAGCCCATCGTTCATACTGACTTGGAGAGCTGCTTCCCTGAAAAAAAAAAAAAAAAAAAAAAAAAACCACAAGAAACAAGTCAGGCCAGCTTGTCCACAATTTTCCAGTAGATAATAGCCTCTGGAAGCCGGGCTCCTGATGCACAGAGAAGCCCTTTGTACAAGTTAATTCATGCTGCTGGTGCTCCGTCCCCTGTGTGCCAATGCACAAGTGGCACTGAACCCGACAAGCAGAGGAGACAATGTCGGCATTAGCGGTGTATAACAGAACACCGTCAGACCCCACAGACTCATCTTCCCACAGGCAAAGAAAATATTTGAGTATGTAGAAAAAAACGTACATGCCAACTTCTCGTAGCACAGGTGCTGGGCAGAGTAAGTAGGTATCTTCCACTACAAAAGGCTTCTCGTCTGGAAAAAAAGAAATATTGGGATTTATTACCAGGTCGGTAATACAGGCCTTAGAGATCAAGCTTAAATAACAGATTACAGAGAAAATAGCTGGGTCAAGAAAATTGTGTATTATGGAAAATTTTGCACTTCAAGTCAGACCCATCTGAAGGTAAATTAAGCCTTCCAACCTAAATTACACTATGGCTTTAAAAGCAGAGAGAAAAATTATCAACAGGCAATTGCCTGGGAAACAGGAACTTTAGTTAATACTCTTCTTCAATAGACTTAAATCAGAATCTTACACCAGCTGGGGTGCCCAGAGAGACGGGGATCTCAGGAAACCTCCCAGCCCGTTTGCCAGCTGACTAGAGATTGGCCAGGGTGTCAGAAAACCAGGCAGACAGGCTGGGTGCTTTTTTGGTTTTGGACTGGAAGCCACGCATTCCCGCAGAAGGGATTGATTCTGATGAATCAGCGTTTTCCAGAAGCACGTCACTGCATCAGAACGCTTTCTTCCAGCTGTACTTATAACCAGCTCCAGGGCCTTCTACAGAGATGCTTATAGACCTGAAATGAGCTCTTGCCAAATATCACCAGATTTCACCAGGTAATTAAACCTGGTAATTTAGATTACCTAAAATTTTCCAGTTAAAATTGGCATTTTCTTTGAAAGCCCTCTGCTGACAGACTCCTTCCCTTTCTCCTCTCAAACCTGTAGGCTTCAATCCAAACCTTGAATCTTATCTCTGTGTACTGCGGGGTGGAAGAGACCTTCCTTCTCTGGGGGCGTGTTGGAAGAGGAGCACAATTCATCACCACCCCGCTCTGCTTTGCCGCCAGAAACACACCCAAACCTGGGCTCTGACCACCTGAAGTCTCCTCACCACCGCCCCGCGCACGGCGCTTCCCAGGGACACAACCCCGGCAGTGGGGAAGCGAGCTCACAGCGTTCAGTGCATCACTGGGAGCACGAGGGAACGGAAAGGAGCAAGGATAAAAGCTGAACCAGATTGTTCAGCAACCTACCGAAGAGCTGAGCTCTTCTGTCCGGTCTTTTGTTTTTGAGGAACCTTGTGCAAGTTACGATTCCACTCTAGGTGCCGTTCCTCTAACGGCATTTCTGCACGAGCTGTGAGCCTTGTTCACTCTTCGCTTGGCTGCCGAGATAAATTTGTTCACAAGGATGGTGCCTAACGATTGGGGCAACAGCAGCAGAGCATGACCGATCCCAGCCCCGTTCTCGGTGGGTAGCTGGGCAGGGTTCACGCAGAAGCAGGGTCACATTTTACTGCAGAGGATGAGGCATAAAGAGATGCCCATGGCAAGAGTTTGTCCCCTTGTGCAGAAGCAGGACTCACCGAGTCAATCATCCTTTCCCAGACATTCCTAAAAGAGGTTTCCACTGAACACAAAAATCTAGAAAGCAGTCATATTGCTCTAGTAATTCCTATCGCACATTCTAATCCCTACTTCGTAGCAGCGCATTTCTTTGCTTTGGCAGCAATATAAAGGATTATTTCCTCAGGCAGGTTAGGAAATGTTTATTTTTTACACTCCATTAAAAAAAATGAAATGATAATTAACAGTTGTAGCCTTCCCTGAAGTTTTCCTTACGTTTCCAGCTTCCAGCAAATCCCATGCCTACATATACACACTTACAATTTTGGGGTTACCCACAGCAGTTATTTTCTTAAGGACTCTGACACAGGCAAACAGCTGAAGGTGAAGCACTTCAGCCAGCTGTACGGCTTTGCAGACAGGCTTCGCTTCTGCATCACGGCTCACCTACTGAGAGTGGTCTGGAGCTTCTGCGATCCCTCTAGATCCCTGCTCTCGGCCTGGAACACTCCAGATCATCGCTCGTTTCCCACAGCCTCAGTGCGGGAACACCCGGGAGCATTTCCACCCCGCTAAACATCAGGAGCAGATGTATTTAGCCCAGTTATTCCTTTGCTAGCCCCATGCTACCCAGATCACTTCCTCACTAAAGGAGAGGCGGGCAGACAGCAGGCATTTAAAGCATGGGATGTGGTGAGAGGAGACACATCCAGCGCGGGCGCGGGGTTTCTGATGAGCTTGCATCAATACAGGCGCCTGGTTTTGCAGCGGCGTTACCGACTCAAAGCAGCGGCTATTCCCACTCTGCACCAGCCCAGCGGCAGTGACGCCGGCCCGACAGCTCTGTTCTCACCCTGATTGCTGAAGACATCCTTACCTTCCGTAAATCTATGACATTCTCTCAGTGCACACGTGCTGGAAGAATGAATACCAACGTCTTCTTCTCTCCTTTGCTAACACTGGAAAAGGCCAAAGAACTCTCCGTGCCAGCAGTCACTAAAACAAAAGCTGGCTTCATTTCACAAGGTCTTTTACTTCCATCTCATGAGCTTTTTGCTTCTCTTTCTCTCCTGTCCCACCCCCAGCTTGCATTAAAGCCTGTGCCCCTCTAGAAAGTTTATCAGACCCAGAGTCCCAAGAGGGAACGCCTGGCTGGCCAGGCTGGCTGCAGAGAGAGATTATTGTGTTTGGAGAATGTTTGTGCTTCACCACAAAAATGAGTGACTATTTTCCTTTGCTCTAAACAAAAGAAGATCCATTTGGTTTGCATAACGCTGGCCATCTGACTCCTTCCTGGAAAACTTACGTAGGGAAACCAAACAAAACCAACTCCTCATCTGCTATTGCCTCTGCAGGACGCGTTTGGGAGAACACCGCTTCTCCTGCCTGCTGCAGAAAAATCCGCTGTGTTCCTGCGCAGTGAGAGATGGGCCCGGATGCGCCCAAACTCCAGACCTCGTGCCAAAATCTGAATTTTGTGGCTTGGCCTCCTCTCGGCTGACAATTCTGGTGGAAGAGCTGGGGAAGGCGGGGGGCGGAGCGCTCCACTCCATGTCGCTGCCCAGGAAGTGATCTCTGTTCTCGGCTCCGCTTCTAGCTGGCTGCGCGACCTTGCAGAAATCACTTTGCCTCCTTCGCCAGTTTTACAGAAAGGATGTCCTGATCGCATCTCGGACGCCCATCAAGGGCAGAGCTTGGACTTCTTCAGGAAATATTGCAACGCCTGACTTTTGAGAAAGTCTGCCTACAGTAACGGGCACAATTTGCTCCTTACCTGTGCACCTCTAATCGCTCCATCCAGCAAAATAAGGTTCTTACTGGATAAAAACCCCCCACAGCACACACAGGCAACTAAAACCTGTCGGTCCTGAGGCACAAGCCAATCCGAGCAGAGTGCAGAAATGGAGCAGGGTCAAACACATCTGTTTTCTGCAGCTGCCCTTTCAACAAGGTACCTTCTACTGCTCAAATCCCTGTAATTCGCTACCCAGCATTCCTACACCTTTTAACAACTATCTGTAGCCTGTAAAATCGATTATTCCCAGCATTAGTGAACAGTTTCTTTTGCCATGAGCAGGGTGTAACCTTTTGGCAAGCCAGGACTTGGAGTACTTCCCAACCATAACAATAAAAGCCTCGATATATGCATGTTTTAACCCAGAGGAGCAAACCTCAACAAAAGAGAGGTACAAAAACCCAAAGAAGGTGACCAAGACAGATAGTAGGACTTTCTTTTAACCATCTAACCAAGCTAAAATTAACAGCCTTTTCTTGGGTTAACAGTTCATCCCAGAACCAGCTGGCACACTGGCACTGCCTGCAAGGACTCCTCACGGAAGGGTTGAAGAAAGCCCAACGTTTTCAAGTTGCCACCATATCGCAAGTGCTGACTGTTGGACTCGCAATATCAGCAGTATTTTAGTCCAGAAAAGGCTGAAAAAGGTGTTTGCCAAACTTCCCGTCCATCACAGTAACAATTTCCTTTTGTTATCGCTGTATTTACGATTCGTATTCAACTAAAGCACATCTCGGGAAACGCTTTGACCTGGGCTGTGCAGGAGAGAAGACTCTGGTCTATTAGACCGGTACAGCCCAACTGGGGGGGGGGTCTGGCTGCTCTCATCTAAAATTCCCTCAGGAACACCCGTGCTAAGGCGGCTGTTCTCCTCTCTACCCCAGCCCTGAGCCTGAGCACTTCCATTGTCCCTTTGTCACCTCAGATGAGACACAATACCTCCAGCAAGTCCCCGCACCGCCCGCCGAAGCACAGTCTCCGTCCACCCTGGCTGACTTATGGCTCTTATGCCCCTCCTCGGGACGACTCTGCAAGCAAAGTTTTCATTTCAAACGCTTTTTGCGGGGAGATAGGAATCTAGCGAGACACTGGAACACTCTGAGCTAGAGAAACTGCCTACGAGAAAGACCCATAAATAAGAAATGTTTTGTTAATGCTGTAATGAAAACCACATTGAGACCATGCTGGAATTGCTCTGCTTTGTGCAGGGACACAGGAGCTGTGAACGCCAAAGCCATTCGGAGCAGGGTTAGGGGATGGGGGGAAGAGAGGGATGAGCACAGAACAACGGTATCACATTCAGAACTACCTCTAGATGCAGAGGAGGGATCTGGAAGGAATCGCTTTTCCTCTGATGGGTTCATCTGCTGTGCACACAACTCGGTTCAACAAGCGCACGTAGCTTCAAGACTCCTCACAGAACTTGGCAAAGCCCCACGCTATTCATTCTTGCTCATGCTCCCAACTGGCAGCTCAGGAGAGCAGCACACGCTGCAGAACAACGGGGTCACTCCCTGGCAGGAGCCTCGGTCCAGCACCGCAACAGCTCGGCTCCAGTCTCGGCGCTGTTACCGTAAGCTCCGTCACGCTTATTTGCAGCTTTATTAATGTCACAGCGAGAGCCCACCTTGGTCCCCCAACAGCAGACAGCACAAACACGCGAGCTTGGTTAAGCACCCCACGCTGTGCAGGGATTCTCCTCCTCCCTCAGCCCAAGTTGCAGGGCTGCTCTGGGCTTTTTCTTCCACACTCTGCCTGCGCAGCTGCAGAGAAGTCTGTGGGAGGTAAGCGCACAGGAATCCTGTTCTAAAAGTTCCTGCGCTGCAGCTTTTTGGAGTCTAGGAGAGCATCTGAGGGAAGGGTGATGGTTTCTCCTGTTTTCACATTCTCTGTCGAGCAATGACTTGGGTCAGCCTTCAAAACAGGATGCCGAGCTCACCTTGGTGTGTGCTTTCATCTACGAAAAATTAGAGGCACACACTGTGTCCTGCATAAAGGTCACCCTCCCCAAAACACCTGATGGAGTTTGCACGCAGGGATGGACATTCTCTAGAATCATCGCGGAAAGAATTAAAAGCTTCTATCTGAAAACAGAAGGAAAAGATTCAGCGGAGGGTTAAAGTGACTTGATCAAATGGGGAAATGGGGGATTAGAACTGCAAAGCAAAACATTCCTGTGCTAAGAGTGACCAGACACTGAGAAAGGAAAGAAGATATCACAAGAAAAGCATCCTGCTGCCAGGAAAGAGGAAAGACAGGGAAAATGGAGCAACCTGCTGGGCTTTAAAAGCAGAAGGCAATTTTTAGAAGGCATTTGTTGGGCAGGTTTGGGATACAACTCACTCTCCACTGATACCTGACAAAGTCCTGCTCCCACTGTCTTTTCCTCACTTTCCCTCACTTCTGGGACTCGGTGCTGGAAAAAAAAGCCTGTGCAAAGGATCGGTTTTGGCCAAGCATCCAGAGCATTCACTAGAACGCAAAAGATCGAGCCCCCCCTCTGCTGCGGTGCCTGCTGTTTCCTCAGCTTTCTATTCTGTTTTAAACTGCCTGGGACAGCGCTTGCCTCGATGCCCAGAACGATCTTTGCTGGATCCTGCACAGTCTGGGCAGACAGAGACATTTTAGCACCACAAAGCAGTCCCAAGTCACTGCCCTGGATAACTGCTTTTAACTCTGTGCAGTCTGAAACCAATTCTCCTAGGTCCTGCTGCTGGCAGAAAACACCCTGCTTGAACATGCATCTGATTACAGTTCTGCTCAGCCAAATATTCTTCATGGCTTCTACAGATGTTCCTTTTTTTTATCCCATAGCTATGAACATTATGAGCCAACGCTCTCTTCACCTGCCACTTTTGTCTGCCAATAATCCCAATAAAAATCTATTAGCTCATGCCCTTAACCTCAGCAAGTCCTAGCTGTGCTGGTCTGTATCTCATCTGGGATAATTTAGGGTTTCAGGAACTGCTGGCTTAGTGTTATCTTTAAAAGTACCTCCCTCCCCGATACAGTCAGAGGCTGCGAGGTTTCAAGAAAGAAAAAAAAAAAAAAGGCAGCTGAGCTATCCAGTCTCGGTGAGGCTTCCATAAAATTTTCATTTGGTGAAGTCTTACATTAAGCTGTTTGCAGCCAAGTGCCACAAAGACACACTGAGAACGCAGACGGCAGCTGCAGGCGCCAGTGAAGATGCTTTCTCGCATAAAACAAGTCAAACTCAACAGAGCCGAGCCAGTTCCCACCAGGAGACGTGGGTTCGAGAACACTGATGAGCAATGGTTGAGTTCCCTCAGTCGGGAACGGTTTGGACTCAGAAATGGAGTTTGAGGCCACCGGTGTCCAGGTCACCGCCTCAGAGCACCCCGGGCTGTGCAGAACAAACTGGGTCTCGGTGCAGTGCCGGGGAGAAGGAGCTCAGCTCTCACCTCTGCAGCCATTCAGGACATGATGAATGCATCAGGTCGGGAGGCAGGGAACACACTTGGCCCTTACCCTCATTGTCTGCTGTCATTTTGTGGATACAGGAAGACAAATTCAAACAAAAACAAGCCCATGAATTGCACTAAAATAAGCTGATCGTTCCTGAAAGCTACTACGAAATGCCGATGACAGACAGGATGATAAATTAACTCAGCTAGACAAGCAGTCAGCACACAAACAGACGGAGGAGTCTTCCTCCTCACCCCCACCAGCACCGGGACCAAACCTCGCTCTTATCCCCTCCCACACAGCTTGCAAGTTTGGTCCTAGAACTGAAATGCTGCACGCACCGACCCAATCCGTCTGGCTTTAGAGATCACCAACAGCACCAGCCCCTCAGAGGGGTGCCTGCTCTGGGGGACGTTCAGGACTCAAGCCAAGGCCAGGCCAAGCGGCAGCAGGGCGACGTGGGCACTCCTGAATCTTGCAACTTTTGGAGTTTCTGTCCTGCTGAGTGGTGGTCTTGTAATTCCTACAACTTCCATTATACACGTCCATACTTTTCTTCGCATAAAATACAACGGCTTGAAAAGTCCTCCATTGACATTTCTCTTGATCTGAAACTCTCTCCTCCACAAAGTGGAAGTTTTCACACAAATTATACGTTTGATATGGGATATTCACATTGTAATTGAAAAAAAGACAGCAGACACGCAAACTAAGAACGCTACAAACTCTCGGCTTCCAGCAACCAAACCCAAAGGCTTTAGAATTTTGATGAAAACTAAATATTTGAATAGCAATTTCATTTCCATTGGAACTTTCCAGGTGGAGAGAGAAGGGAAGGTTTCCTGCCCAGCTCCAGAGAACTGCAGGAGACTTTATAACACATATGATCCAAACAAAACTTTGGATCTGAACTCTGGGGAGAAACCAAACATAGTTCAACTCCTAAATGCAGCCATGATCCAGATTTAAGGAGTTCTGGCCACGTGTCAGCTTTGGGTCCGATTTTATGGAGATTAAAAGGAAAAGCATGAACCTGTGGCTGCCTCTGCTCTTATTTTTTGAAAGCCACCTCTCACTTGTTCACCGATCTCCAGCACTTATTTCCAAGCTGCACGGAGATGCCTCCAAAACAGTTAATTCACCACATCCTCCCACCCCAGTGCTTCTACTCACATCCCCCTCCTTCCCTACTCCCTCCTCCAATGCCACCTGCTCCTCCCTCAGCCCTCCAGCTTCTGCTTTTCAACTCCTCAACACCCACCACATCTGAATTGAGCAAACACGAACCACAGCCAGCCAAGCTTCCTGCTTAATGACACAAGAGTTGGCAATTTTAGAACCCGTAGTAACAGAGGAGGCCAACGTAACAGTACAAAAGCCATTCAGGACAAATTACATCCACCCGCTGTCCTGTACCTGCCCTGAACGCTCAGTGGCATTCCTCACAGGGCAAACAGCCTTAGCAAGCTGTTCCCCTGCTCCGAAGAGCAAATTACACCGATGCTCAAAGCATGAGCGAGTTTGCCATTGAGCCAGTAGACTTCAACATGTTAAGAAACTAATTCATGCATTTATTTTATACTCAAAAGGGTCAGGATGACCTAAAAAAAAAAAGTCAGAAAATCAGGAAAAAAAAATCCAAACAGCTTACTGAGAGTAACTGTGTCATTGATCCTGAAGCTGCAGAGCACTCGGTCAACGTTACGGGCATGTCGAAACCCATTTCCTCTCACGACAACCTGGAACGACTCTGTAGCAAGAGAGACAGCAGATTATTGATACACAGCGAGGCAAAGAACGGTCGTTTAGACAAGGCATGGATGTCAAAAGTTTTCAGTTCAGATCTCTTGAGCTAAAATTCACAGTTCAACAATTTTTAACTTCAAAAAATTGTTACAAAGTGAACTTGACTCTCTCCCTACCCAATTTCAACTTGAGTTTTTAGAAACAGGAAATAATACACTACCGATACCTTTTAACTGACCTGCAGAGAAAACATGAAGCTTCATGTCTGGACATGGAGCTTTCCCCTCCCCAGGTTGCCATTTTCAAGGGACAGAAAGTTTTGGGTGAAGAAAGGCAAAAGTATCTTTCCATGGAAAGGAAAAAATCTTCCAGTGAGAGATAACTTGGAGAAGTTCAAGTGCTAATTTCCTAGGTAACTGCAAAATGGTGTCAGCTGCCAGGAGTTTTGCCCTCCTAGTCTGTACGACGGCCACGGAACCTTGGCTGGACTCGTTTCCATACAATGACGGGGGATTTCATCAACCGATCGGCTTTCTAGTCTCTGGGCAAAGGCTATGCTCTCAGAGTCTGTGGGCATCTCCCCAAGTCTTCCTCTTTGCTGTTCTTCCAGATCAACTCTACAAGGCCACCACAAGCTGCGGTGCAAGTGGAAAGCATCGGGGACAGTCACATACACCTGAGCACTGAACTGAGCGGTCCTTTTAGGAACGAGCAGGGCTGAGCAGTGAGATCACATCCTCACAAGTCCTTCAGACCTCTCTCTACCATCCCTTGTTATTCCAACTACTGGAACCTAGGACTGGGAAAGGTTTAAGAACTTCCTGCAGCCACCAGCATGAAGACTGCCTTGCAAGGAAAGCACCGGTTTCAGCCTTTCAGACTTTGAAACAGGGCCACAGTCCCAGAGAAGTTCTGGCAGCAGACACAGGGACTCAAACTCCACAGTTTCCCATGGCGAAGGAAACAGCCCCCACAATTCCTGTTACTATCTAGGAGAGACACTCAGCTAATCCCCACTGATGTTTCGCTGGTAAGTGTGGTTTGAACACAAGACATTTCACTGTCCAGGACAACACAGGAGGAATCGGAGCGCATCAGAAACGCCACCCTGCTTTTAAAATTCCCAGGAGCAACAAGGAACCTAGTTTTGGCAGACTCAAAGTTTTCCCCCTGCACTTTACAGTCCCGATCTTTTTCATCTCCCTTAAGGACTCGCACACTGTAGTTGTCAAAAAAAGCAGATTTGCTCTGGAATCTGGGCTCTCCTCCAGATCCCACTCATTTACATCCAAGTTGCAAATCATCCCACCGCATCTAGCCAGGGACGCTGCCTTGCAGGCCCATTACGTGTTGTCCAAGAGCGTTTGGGAAGAACGGGGGAGAAGAGCTCTGTTCTGGAGCGCAGGGGCTGAGGAATACTTAAGAGAAATCACAGAAGTCTCAACTGCTGGGGAATAAGAGTTCAAACACAAAGAACAGCATATCAGTGATGTCAGATGAACCACCGGGATCCTGTCTCTGCTCGAGGCTGAAGTGAACAGACACAGTATGCACCCTGCACGTCTGTGCTGACGGAAAACCGAATAATCACGACAATGAAATTCGTTACTCGAGTGGCTGGGACCAGTCTGCTGCGCAAGAGTGGGCTCAGCTAACATTGAGCCCTCCTGTTCTATCCTTTCAAAAAAAAGCAAAAATCACCGTGACTCTTCAAGAATGTGCACAGAAACAAGAAAACACGAGGTATCAGAGCTATGCTTGCAAAAATTTATGTCAAAGAGACACTAATGCACATAACTCTCATATTCTATGGCACTTTCTTTAGTCTCCAAGTCCTAAGTGATGGACTTAGCTGCAGTTTGCCCAAACTCAGAGATGAGGCCTTAAATTGAGCATCTAAGTAACTGCTGGCATTTTTCAAGGTTAACATCGCTCCTCTTGGGAAGCACTGGCTGGATTCCAGTGTGAACGGTTTATATAAAGCCCTCTACATTTCCTCTCAGCTGGATGCAGCTGTACATTACCCCTACGTTCTCATTAAGACACAATGAATGGGAGTGACAAGATTTATAAGCAGCCGACAAGCACATTAGAAAGTGTTAAAGCAACACGAACAGCTAGGGCCTCGGTTAATACTTACCCCCTGCACATATACTGGAAGGCTCTGCCGCCAGGATTTCTATACAGGACTTCTTCAAAATCTAAAAGACAGAAAAAAATGTCATCAAGCACATCTCAGACTTGTTTCTATAGAAACAGAAATCCAGAGGCGTGGGAGAGCGCGCGCTTGCTCTCACAGAAGCGCTTCACTCAGCATTGCACTTTGCATCCGTGTCACAGTTACACCACTTGAGCTTTTCACTTTGAACCAGCCACAGAGGCATCGCTGCTCTTCCTCAGCAATTGCCATGGAGGAAGGCAACGGACGCTGATGCTCGCCGGTGTCTCAGCACAAGCTTGCCTTTGTCTGTGGTACGAGTTATCATGCAGACTACGATCCGCAACAACTTAGGTGCCCTCCGAAGGGTTAGCAAGGCAGTTATTCCAGGGCCAAAACTCCAAATAAACCATCACAAGTTCAAGCAAAGCTGTTTACCTTTCCCAGGGATACCTACACTGCCCCTTCTCACGTCTCAGTAGAGGGGTTCAAACTTTGTAAGCTTTAAAGCTGATCGGCGAGCCCGTACCTGAGTGCACCCTCAAAGATGCACTGTGAATTTTAATCAAGATGTATGGACAAACGCTCTTTACTTAAATCAAATTTAAATTAAGCAGTATATCTTCGTAAGAGTTGGCAGTGCCTTAACCACTTTACACAGAGACAGTGATGTACACAAATACTCCAGCACCGGGCTTGGCAGGCTGCTTGCCAGGCACGAGGAGCACGCTGGAGCTGGACCTTGCGCCGTACGGTGCTGTTATTGCTCCAGCTGTTATTTGCATGCAGCAGCCTTTCCCCTGCTCTGAAGACCAACTCCAACTCTTCACTGCACGCAGTCAGCAAACTGGGGACAGTGTCCGTAAGCCCCCGTGAGAACAGCAGCGGCGACCGTGGGCTGGGCGTGTTCAGCCCGGGGCTGAGCAGCCCCTGGACGAGGTAATACTGATCAACATTTCGGTCAGCTCCAAGAGGCAAGTAAATGTCAGCCAAGCACCATGACTCAAACCCAAATTATTTTCCCAACTTTAAATTGAAACATCTGTAAGGAAAGAACCAATACAATAACTGCTGTATGAAAAAAATAATCTATTTTTTCTCCAAAATGATGGCGCTCTGCCTCAAATACCTATTGCAAAAGGTACCGATAGAGACATGATATATTTTTTTAAAACTTAAACAAAAGCTTGCGTTACTCAGAAGCAGGGCTGGTAGAGACTCAGAGAGCACCAAGGGACTGAAGGAACCAGGACCGTCTGAGCTGCTGGCAGCCTGGCAAGTGAGGAGAAGGAAGATTTGCAGGAACAAGGTTATACAGGAACTGTCAAGAGGAAAAAAAAAAAAGAGAAAGTCAACAGTTGAGAACTGAAAAGCACTAGAAGAATTTGAAAGGCAGAAAAAGGAAAACACACCAAAAATAAAGAGGACAGTAAGAACTCTCTTCCAAAGTATCCATCTGTAGCAGTCCATCTCCTGTCAGTCCTTCCCTACCCATCCCTTACGCATCCCTGCTTCTCTGGAGATACCGCATTTTTCTCCCAAAGTGACTGCAAGGGCTAATGAGCACAAACAAGGGCTGAAGGTTCTCCAGGTATTCTTCCTCTCCACTGAAAAATGTCTCCTTTAAGAACATAATCTTTTCACATTTTTCAGAATTCCCCCTCTCCCCCATCATCCCCAATATATTTTTCTTCTCCTCACTGCCCTTCGGCAATGAAGTGAAAAAGGAAAAGGCAGCAAATGAGTTGGAGAACAAACACATGAAAAATACAATCAATACTTCCATTTTTATTTTTTTTAAAAAAAAAAGCAAGTAAAACCTCACACGGTTAAGTTTGAAATTCCTGATTCTATTCAGTCATTTGCGAAGGTTCCTGCTGTAAGCCAGCTCCGAAGGGGGGTGGAATAGCAGGTGTCTCCGTTAGATGACGCAGAGCTCCCTTCCAGTCCAACCCAACCTACCTACGTGACTATAAAAAGCTGCTCTTAACGGCTTCTTACAGTGCCAACCGCAAGATTTATTTTGATTTGGAATAAGTTTCCAGTGCTCCAGGCACCCACTCCAACTTAAAGTAAAAGTCAGGTAGCACTAACTATTGCGAAATAACTCCTTTGTGTCTCTTCATTACGAAAATACACTCAAAAAGGACTTCAGCATATTCATCATCGAAGATTTCATCAGATCTTCTGTCCTTGAATTTCCTGGGGACGGCACAGCCCTGCCTGGGCTGTAGGTGCACTTCATCCTCTGCGGGCTGGCTCCCTAGGAAAGCAAAATAACTTGCAAGAGTGGTGATGCAACCTCCCAGCTGAGCGCCTATGAACTGCCCCAACAGCATACGGGGGAGAACGGACTCCACATCCTCATCGGGAGAACGACAACAACGGTTCTGGTTTGCTGTTAACTAACTGCAGGCCTCGAGGCAGCTCGCCTTGGCATCCGTGCAGAAAAGTATTTGAAGCACGTGCCGGCTCTTGGGGAGGAAGCATCCCATTGTCTGTAGCAGCACACACTTCACGACCAAGCGCAGATTCCCCAGTCGCTCTCCTCTCCTACTCCAGCTTCTCACGGGCTCCTGGGAGGGTCTCTTGTGAATATTTTGCTGACAAGCCAAATAAAAAAACGCAACACATTCTTGTGGAAGCTCAGCTTTATTTGTCACAGTCACCTCTATCGGGACAGAACTGAAATTAGCACTGCCTGGGAGTAATGTAGCTTTCTGCCAGGCAATGAGTGCGCTGAAGGCCAAGAGCCAGGAGAGCCCCCGCGGGTCACCTGGGCCCTTTTAGAAACAAAGGGAAGAAGGGGAGTGAAATGCTGCAGCTGCTGGAAGCTTTCCTTTGGTATTCTGGTCCACAAGCATGCAGACAGATTACCACAGCAGCTGCATATTTCTTATAAATTTTTTTTTCACTAAATTTGGGAATTCTAATTAGCAAACAGGATGCTGAAGTTTAATAGAAGGTTACTGCCTCATCAGTGCTGGTGTGAAAGACCGGCAGCCTGAGGCTAGGTACTCGTTAGCAAGCTCCACTGAATTACTAAATAACAAAGTCTGTTGCCAATTACAAAACACTAATTTATTTATTGTTTCCTGTCCAATAATACCTGCATGAGGTAAGTAAAATAGGATTTGAGCAACCTGGGCTAGCGGGAGGTGTCCCTGCCCACAGCAAGGGGGTAGAACTAGATGATCTTGAAGGTCTCTTCCAACACAAACCATCCTGTGATTCTAGGATAAATATATTTACAAACCATTCTGTGATTCTAGGATAAATATATTTACAAACCATTCTGTGATTCTAGGATAAATATATTTACAAACCATTCTGTGATTCTAGGATAAATATATTTAAGTTCTTTTTTAAAGATGCTTTTGGGGAAGAAAGAAGTAGAAACCATAATCATGTACCGCTAAAAGTAACAAGTAACACAGCGGAGACTGGGGGTTCACATCCTCTACTTCAGACGGGTAAGCCAGCTCCCCAAGCCAAGAGGCTTGAGTTCATGACTTTCTCTTTGGCCCGTGTAGAAAGCCTGGCTCTGACAGAAGCCAGATTCAGAATATCTGTGTGAAGCTCCTGCTCTGAATTGCCCCCTGGGGATTCTGCCCATCCTTACTGGTTGCAGCAGCTTAAAGAGCCCAGCTTGCTGCCCCGGGCAGTGCACCCAAAGCTCAGGCTACACAGTAGCAGGAAGGCAGGCAGCTGACTCAGACATCTTGTGTACACGGCAGATTTCACACATCCAGGCTGTGTCTCGCAAAGGAAGCAACTTTCTCTCATCTCTCTCCCCCATTCATGGAGTCTCAGCCCCTCTCCCTGCACCAGGGGATGTACAGTTCATCCGTTCACGAGTGAAGTTTGAACAGCTAGCTCAGGATGAGTGCGGACAAGCATCACCACATTTCTCATACTTCAGCTATTCAGGCACTCACATCAAGTTCTCGCTAAAGTTACCACGCTACACATATCCAGAACTTCAGTTTGTCCCAGAAAACGTGTGTAACAGAAGTATTCAGAGACGGTGTATTTCCACGCTCCAGGGAGTGCACGGAACTGCCATAGCGATTCTAAGAGCTGAGGCAAGACCTGAAAAATAGCGAGGGTAGGTGGAAACCACTGCAAGGTGAGCCAAAAGGAGCACACGGGAAATTAAACCTTAAAGGATGAATCATTTGCACCATTGACACAGGAGACAGTCCCACAAACCAGTTCATACAGCTTCGGTTCTTACACATCACAACTGCTTCAGGAGCCTTCCTGCAGCTCACAGAACCCTTTCTAAGGGGCCCAAGGTTACGTCTCTGTTTGGGACAAGCTCTGAGCTAGTGCCCCTGTTTAACCCACGGCAAGGATCAGGGAGCACTCTTGTTCCAAGCGACTGCTCTTTCAGGGAGTTTCTGTTAAAGGCTTAAAGCAAAGCAATGACAGGATCCCATCCTGACCTTCATGTTGCTTCATGTTCCATTGCCTCCAGCGCTCCTACCAAAGACATACCGAGCAGCAGATGAGGTTGAGTTTCAGGTTTTCCTTCTAAAACTTGCTCCATTTACTTTAAATTGACAGGTTATGATCTGCAGAAATTTTTCACAGCAAAGACAAATTTAATAAATTTTCTTCAGTTCCTTCCATTTGTCCCCCAGCTAACAGCAATGAGATATCTCATTTCTCCAGCCACTCTTCCCTCCTAGCAAACTCCAAATCCCCATTAAACACGGGGGAAGCTGAAGTTTCAGCAGTGGCTTTTTCACAACAAGGGAAAAAAAGCCATTGGCTTGCTTAATAAAAAAGTCACACTGGAACTCACAGGAGAGAAAGGACCAAAACCTACAGGGCACTGAATACCTTCAGCTCGCAGTTTAAGAACCAGGTTTTTAAGCATGACTTCAGCAGGGGACGACACTTCCAGCTCATTTAAGCACAGCCCCCGGGGCCCAGCCAGAACAGCCTGGTGCTGCTTAGCAGGAGAGCTCTCACAGCCCCGAGCAGATCTCCCTGCAGCTGCTAGCTCAGGACTTGCTGGCTCCCACAGAGAAGGAAGGGCAGGTGCGCCGAAACATTTGCAGCCCCACCGCCCTGAACATCTTTGCTCAACAGATGTGGAGGCTCAGCGGAGGCCAGCCTCAAGCACCACCACTCCCAGCTCCCAGGGACTTCCCAGTCCCCTGCCCCTGCACACTCAGAGGGGCAGAAGACCTGCTCCTCGGGACAAGGGCAGCCGGGAAGAGTCAGGCTGCCTCTGCAGGAATACAGGGCAGTTCACGCTAGATCTCTGCAGACCAGAACAAGCCCAGGTCTTCATCCCTCCAGAGTGGTTTTTAAACACTAATCTCCCCCAGGCTCATGATTTCATCTTTCCTTCCCCCATTATATCAACCAGCAGCTTGTAGCCCAGCCAATCCCCTTTACACATGGCTGAGCATCCTCGATGTACCAACTCTTACCCAGGAACCGAAAGAAGCTTCCAAATCTCCTGGCCACATTAAAAAGCTTTTCTGTGAACTCAAATGCTTTGTTCGTTTGCTTTACGAGGACAAGAAAAGAAGGAGCTTATTTTCCAGCTAGAACAGGAATCTACAGATTCTTTGTTATTCTACAGAGTGATTAACGTCCTTCTTGCCATTCCTTTTACACATGACCTTTCTACTCAACCTTTTGCAACCGCTCCGCTGAAAGGCAAGTGCTCAGGTCACAGATTCATTACTGCACAGTTACACTTCCCTGTGACCCTCACCCCGGGGATGGTAAATCTTGCACCAGTCAGCTGAAGCAGTTCTTGACTAGGATCCTGGAGGCTGGAGTCTTCCCGTTCTGTTAAGTGTAACTGGAAAAGGAGTCCGAACTGCTTCTGGAATTCATTAAAAACAGCTGCAAAGGGAATGCAGGGCTGGGAAGCAAACTAGGGGTTTTTTTTGTTGTTTTGTTGCTTTCTTAAATGACATGCAACACCTGATTGTCCAAGAGAACTGATGCGGTAGCCACACACTTGGACAGTGCCAGGAAAACCAATAAGCAAGGGATTGTATTCCATCTACATGCGAAAGCTCTGGGGAAAATTGAGCCTGCGCTGAGGGAACAGTTTTGCTTGGTACTATGTGGTCAGAAGAGTGCGTAACCACTGCAGACACAGAAATCTGAGACCCCCCGGTGAACCTACCCTCCCTAGCCTCAAGTCGTATATTTCATCTGTGTTTTATCAACTAAAAAACCTACACCAAAAGGAACAAAACACGTGTCTTTAAAAGGATTTCCCATCCTTTTTCGTAGCCAGGGGAAGCAATCTAATTAGAACACAACTGAGCAAAAGGAACTGAAAAATCCTGAATACTATCTGAAAACACACAGTTTCCTAGTGAATGCTTGGCACATTTTGCACTTACAATGAAAACAGCACACGCATCCTCCCGTACATTGCTTTTCCTGCTCAGTCAAGGGAAGCGTTGATCCTAGGTGAGATGGTACGAGGCTGCTCAAAGGTTTAGAGCTAGAAGTAGGGATAAGGCATCCCTCCTTACCAGTAAAGATCACGGAGCCTTTTGCATGACTTGTACACAAGCCATGGGAGAGGAATCAATCCATGCCCCTCCCTCTGTCAGCT